TCAAGTTCTCTAGAACGTTCTTGCTCTTCATGAAGTGCATTCTCCAAGTTTCGAATAGCGGCCTCGAGATCCCCAATCTTGATCTTATCTCCATCCTGTTCTTCCCGGAGAAATGCAATTTCATTTTGACTCGATTCTTGCTGCACATTCAATCGATTGACCTTTTCGTTAGATTCGACATAATTCTTCTCGATTTCCTCAAGTTCTCTATTGGCTTCATCCAATTCTCTTTCAAGATCTTGAATCTTTTTAGATTTTCTTTCGTGATCATCCTCAAGCCTAACAACTATATCACTCATCTCTCTCATCTCATTCTGCAACGCATTGAAGTTCTCTTTCTCATCAGCGACCTCAGCTGAAAGACGTTCAATCTCAGCATTAGCTTCTTCTTGTTCCGCAGCAAAACCATCAAGCTCCTCTTGTGCTTCTTTACGTAAAGATTCGAACATCAGTTCTGCTTCCTCTTGACCTTGAAGTGCTTCATCTCGGTCTGCTTGCATGGTGAGTAAATCATTCTCGGCAACATCCAAGGCTTCTTGCAATTCTTGAGCTAGACCTTCGGCTTCCTTCTTGTGCTCCACGGCAGTCTCAAAATCTTCCATACAAGACTCGAGTTCACGTTGTAAGTCTTGATTGTGTATCTTGAGGCTGTTGATTCTGTCTCGAAGTTCGGCTTGCTTATTTTCAAAATCTTCCCGTTCAGCCTCATTCATACTCGTCTGTCTGGTACCCGCACTAGTCCTGGATGATGATCGTTCGTGTGCTCGTGATGCTGATCGTTCAAATATGCTCTCGCCGGCCACCGATGTACCACCTCTTCTTTGGCCAAGCTTTAACTCCTCGATTTCTTGATAAAGGCGTTCTTTCTCGCGGTTTCTTGAAGTCAGCATTGATGTCTGTGCTCCAACTTCTCGTCTTAGCTCTGCATTTTCATGTCGAAGCTGTTCATTGTCCCGTTTGATCTCCTCGGCTAACGTGCTTGCTGAGCTATATGTACCATTCCTGTCATCTGTCATGCGATCAGACATATTAGAATTAGATCTCGAAGGCGATCCGACACGTCTCTTTGTGATGTTGTAAATATTGGTCGTGTGACTCAATCCTTGTCCTCCGGTGGCCGTCTCTGATTTCAGTCGGAAAATCTCTTCTCGAAGAGCTTTTATCTCATCATCGCTTTGCTCTCTGCGGGCAGTTTCTTGCTCAAGGAGATCTTTCCAGACATCCATTTCTTCACGTGTTTCAATATCTTGACCTCGCCTTTCACCCATTGTACGAACCAAATCTGTAAGATTTCTCTTCTCGTTTTCTCGAGCAAGACTTTCATTCCTCAACCTCTCAATTTCCGTCACATATTCTTCAACCTTCTCTCGTAAGTAAAGAAGCTCCTCCTCCCGTTCAAAAGCACCTTCTTGATACCACTTCTGACTTCCTTCTGTAGATGTACCTGATCGAGCTGTAGATGGTCGGTCTTCGTCATCTTTAAGTTGTTTCTCAAGGTCTTTTACCTTTTTACGAAGAGCTTTGTTATCTCTTTGCATGACGGCTAGACCTGTCTTCAGCTCAACATTCTCGGATATCATTTCCTTCACACCTTCCTCAGAAAGCTTGTCTAATCGATCACTGAGAAACATAACTTTCAATTTCAAGTCAAAATTCTCCTTAGATAGTCTTTCGATCGTGCTGCTCTGTTCCTTCAAAGTTAAATTCTTACCAGTTCTTTGGCCCAGAGCGGATGCTGCAAAGCTTGCCGACTTGCTGGGTGTATGTACGCCATGCTTCGTACGAAAGTCTTTGGCCATTGATTCGGGCACTTGGACATTGCGAACGTGGCGTGCAATGATTGTATCAGTAGGTGGGTCCATGGGTCGACTAGATGCACGAGGTGTTTCTGGAGCAGAATTTGTCTGGTTTTCACTCCTCCCGCGCGTTGAATCTTCTTCAGCCAGTGTCGCCAGTGGTCCATCCACTCTTCCAAATGAATCACCACCTTCGTCAATACCAGATGCCATACTTCCCAGGCTTATAGTCCTAGATAAAGTCATACTTCCACTTCTAGATAACCCCCCGGAAGGAAGTGCGCCGCCGGATTGCAAAGCATAATCTGCACCAACTGTCACATCGCTTCGATCGTCTTGATTTTCAGAATTTGTTATAGAAGAGGACACCGAAGATCGCTGACTTGAATGTCGACTGGTAAGAAATTTGGGTCTAGTTGTATTGCGTGTTGAAAGTGCGGCCCCTGGAGTCGTACCGGCATCGACTGTTAAATGTTTGTTTGTACTCCTAGCCGGTGATTCGTGGGGTAGGCTTGAGCTATCATTCACCGATTGAACAAATGCACGTAAATTTTGGCGCGATCTTGTGGGTGTGGCTTCCATGTCCTCTTCCTCATCTGATTGTTGCTGTGATTGAGAGGTAGATTGTGCTGCTGTTTCGGAATTCTCTCCCATGCTTGCCATTGACATGGCTCGTGATATGGTTCTTGCAGCGGCAGCGGCTGTTGGGGAGGACGAAAGAGTTTCGAGGTTAGAAGTCGTGTTTCCAATTTGTTCCGAATCATCGTGTTCTCCTTGCACAGAATATCGAGGGGCAGGGCCTGGAGTCTTGTATGCACCATCTGGTGTGGGAGGTGAAGAGGGTGTCGGAGAACCATGGCCCCTATTTTCATTAATTGCAAATGTCTTCCTCTTAGGAGTTTGTGTTTCCATTGCGGGGGACTTTTCATCATTCCGACCCGCATCAAATAAATATGTATCATCGGCACCAGCCTTGCCATTTTTACCAATTGGTGAAACACTCGGGAGGAAACTTGACTCGACATTATCCAAGTGTTGTTCCATTGCCTTTGCATCCACGGCACTCAGCAGACCTTCACTTCGATTATCTCCATTGTCGCTATGTGCATAAAGTACACTGCTATCAGTGGGAGGAGACAAAGTAGGTAGATTCCTATGGTCGTAAGATTCCGTTCGATTATTCTGCTCGAAAGCTTGTGAGTTTAAAGATATCGAATCGTCATTATCACTTCTATCTGCCACCAAGTCGCCAATATTATGAAATGTGAAAGCTTCGTTTTCCGAATCCTGTCGTGCAGTTCGTGGCCGTGAATCAGTTTCCGACATTGTTGACAAACTCGACATTGTGTAATCGTCTCCCTCCGCCATCTTGCCTTGCAGATAGTCCAACGCGTCGCATTCGCCGTATATTTATCTGTACTTGGTCGCAGGTTTCGTATGCTATGCTATATGCTGTGTTTATTTTTTCGTCAGGAGTAATGCGCTCGACCGTAGTGGATAAATTGAACTGGCTGAAATGATGATAGCAGCAAGGAACAAACAAGTCTAGGGAGTTGGTGAGGCAATGAGAAATTGATCGTATGATTTGTATAGCATGTTCTCGTTGCCGCAATATTCAAAGAATATCAATCAAGAGGTTTTCAATATTCACTTTTTGCTCCGCCGTGAGTTTTTTCAAGAATTGACGTGCATGCATATAAAATCGTTATTCGTTGTCAACAAGAAAGTTTATCAATGTCTACCTAGTATCGGTAAGTCTAGAAAACATTCGGTTCATTGTTACCGGGGTCAGTTTTTGTCGGGGCGACCAACAATGTTTCAAAGCTGCACGGACTATCAAACATCTACCCAAACACTACTCAAGCTCGCGTGGGCTAGAACTCAAAACATTTCACCCCACCACATCACAAACATTTTCTCTCAATACACTGCAAGGACTGACCAGGTATCAGGTATCAATTCAATCAACGTAATATTGACAGATAATGGAGAGGTTCTTGAATTTGCAGTCGTATAGATGTTTATGCTGTTTGGTCTGTTTGTCTGATGGAAGAAGTCTTGTAGTTGAGATCTGTAGTTGAGATCTGTAGTTGAGATCTGTAGTTTTAGTCTCTTGTTCACAATGGCATCAAAGGGATGTGGTGCGGACAGATCATTATTTCAACTCGAATCTTAGCCTTATCAACGAGAAGGAAAGTTTCTCCTTTTGCCTTTTCACTTTAGCCAAGTGTATTTTTATCGACTCATTAGAATGAAGTCATTCTATCGTCTCATTCAAAATCCTCCTGAATGCTTGTCTCACTTGCTTGTAAGGCTCTCGCTACCATTTTATCGGGACGTCTTCTGTATCAGTCGAACATTTGTCTATGTTTAGAGGCTATCATTCCCCTGAAGCTCTCATCATCTGTTGGAGAATATTATGCGGCTGGATTTTCAGTCATTCCAAAATCAATTTTAACACTACCAATGGCAGTTACAGTTAGCTTATCGCTCGATGCTGGGTATCGAATTAGCCAGTCGCGTCTCTATTCTAAAACCCAATGGTCGCAATCAGCAATCACACTCTACAATCTATTCCAAACCTCAATAGAGCGCATGTACAAGCAATTGATAGTATCACAATTCATCACCAAAATTCTCAATTTGGACAAAATGATAGTAGCCATAACCGACACTTCTGAAGAGCTTTATCTTGTTCGATCCTCGCGAGTTGTTCACTCATTTCACTTGCAAAGTTGCTTTGCATCGTTAGATTTAACTGTGATTTAGCCAAAACTCTAGGCTCTGCCAACAATGCATGCAAAGTGGTGATATGACCGCAGATTTTGGGGAAGGGGGTGTCTTTGAGATCAATGATTCCCACAGTCACACATCTGTAATGACTTCATTCCCTTCTCAATTACTGTGATTTAGACTCGCATCAAGAGCTGCCATTTCAAGACCCAAATAAGTATTAGATCAAGAATCTTACCGTGTATGGAGCCGGACCAAGTCGGATGACAAGGGCAGATTTATCCATATTTATGCTCGGAGGCTATAGATTATCAGATGTTTGTTTCGTAGCTTCACAATCGCAGTATTACTTGCGAAACACGCCCTGATCTCTTAGGTCATCTCCTAAGTTCACAAAGTATCATCTACCTAGGCACACAGCCGAAAGCCACATTTCATGGGTATCACAAACGGCACGTGTAAGTGTTTTCAATGTGGGGTGTTCCAATTCCAAGCTTCAAGCTTCAAGCTGAGCTGGCTGACTGCCTAGAGAATAAAGACTCAGCAGTCACTTTAATTCATCCTGACACACAGTACACTAACAACAAATTTGTATTCATGAGCATGGCTTCTCATACTTCGAGTTTTCAGACACAATCCTTGTACTTGGAGAAACTCTCGGAACTCGCGAAAGAAGACCTTAGGTACAAATCAGCAATCAATAAAATATGATTGGCACGCAAGCTGAGTTGAAAACTATACAGATATTCCGCACTCGACTACGAAATTCGGAGCACCGGAAGTGATTCTTCCGATGGTGGCTGGGCTATCATCAATGACACAAGTTCTGATGCAGGCGTTCTTTCTCAATCTAGCAATTTCACCTTCGATACTGAACATTCCAGATCATTGTTCTATAGCAAACTCAAGACCATTACACCTGAGATACGTATGAGAGTGATTTTCTTCCTGACGTGTAATCTTTTTGGCTTCAACGGAAATACAAAAGAGTCTCACCGACCTCAAATACTAAAGCCTGCCACAGTTGAGATTCTTGGAAGTTTGTATAAGGTCTTACCCTCTTTCTTTTATCATGTGATAAATCCAAAAAGGGGCTACCAAAAAGACAGTTTCCAATAGGTCGCGGGTGGCGGACTTGACGGAGTTGAACAATATTCAAAACTTGAATTTGAATATGCTACAGAGTTCCAAAACCCCTGTTGCATGATATACTGCACAAAAGATGCGACTTTGAATACCGGTTTGTTGAGATTCAATATGAGACATTTTTCAAAACTGACACACCATAGTGGTGATCTACTATCACAAACTTCTCTTTCGTAGTGTGGATAAAGACAAAGAAACTCCTAAGAAAGCCGAAGAATTTTTGCACGCAATCACGCGATTCTGGGATGGAATGACCAACTCGGAAGTCGAATCCGCGGCGCAAAACCCTTTGGAGCTCTTGGTGCCAGTAATTAAAGACATGGAGGACTAATTTTCTCGAGATATTGAATACATGAACTGGAGTCTTCAATCATGGATCTCTGATCACGAATTCAATTTATCCGCTGTATCCCGAGCTCAGCGGGACGACACTTTGTTGAAGGCCTGGCATAATGGTCGCGGGTCTCTGGAAAGTTTTGAGAAAATCACTTCAAGGATTGAGGACTACCAGGACCAAATGATAGCTCAGGGTGTGATTGAGTATGGTCATAATGGCAATCAAAAAATCAAGAACATGTTACGGCAACATAGAAAGTCATTACAAGAGGCCTATCGATTAGAACAATATGTCCGTGACACCTTACAAATGAAAGTTGGAAATCTTTCCTTGAAGGAATCCAGGAAGTCTCTGGAGAAGGCAAATTCACTTGGGAGGCTATCGATCCTTGCCTTCGTATTTCTCCCTGTCTCTTTGGTAACATCATTTTTCGGTATGAACATCAGTGAGATGACTGGCAATGGTGCTCCATGGAAAATATTTCTCATCGTTGCTGCTATTTTATGTAGCCTGGGAGTTGTTCTCTTCCTTTGGATATTCAGGAAATCTCCAGGGGTCTTGAAATTTCTTTTTGCTTGCTCATATCCACCCGTTTGGATTCTCGACTGGATCAATGAGAAGACATTCGGTCATACTGGTTTGTGGTTCTGGTGCCGTAAACACCTTGGTAAACTCTAGTCAGTGGGACAGATTTTTTATGGCACAAACTCGACGAACAATGGATTACAATGTTTTGGATTATTTCCTTCACCCCAAAAACTGAGAAATATTGCAGTACACAGTTATTAGCACAATTTTAAAGAACCTTGAGATTCTCCGGTCTCCACAAGAACGGGAGGTGATACCGCGACTGGGGTTGGTATTTTGTTTCTGACTGTGGTGATTTCTCGAATACATGAAGACGTTTACCATGTAATTCTCGCTCGCGACTCAACACCTCGATACGCATATCGAACCAACTTATTCAAGCTTCATAGATTCTGGATACGACCTTCGAGCATTCTGGAAGAGGGGCAAGTTTTTCCTCGCGATAAACCGGCCAACGCTTATTCATTTGTGAAGAGTCTCAGTCTCGCACGTCTCTGATTTGATTATGACTTCATTGTCTCACAACAACTGTCAATACTTCTTGGCTTGGAGTGTTCTCAGCTCCGCAGTAATAATGCATCTTTAACAAGTGGTTATGAGTGAAGGCATCAAATGATCATCGCGACCCCCAAAATAACAATCATATACTTGTGCACAAGAAAAGAAAGTCACCTATATTTCCAACCTCCCCAACAGTTTCAATTTACTTTTGTATATTCGCAAAGACAATTCTAAGACCATTCTCGCGTTTTCTTTCAATCGGTTCAAGACTCTCACGACACGTACAAGAAACCGCTTCTCTCGAACTACTAAAGCACCCTCCTCTTACCACCCTTCTAATTTTGGCATCCGCATCTGCATTTTCCCGCCCATCATCTTCTCGATAAAGAAATGAAAAAGAAGATATACTTACATCTTCACCCAACAATGAGCTACACCATTCCCATACATTCACCACCATATCGAAACATCCGAATGGAGAAATATGCTTAGGAAATAAACCAACGAAACATCCCTCGTTAATGGTAAATCTTTCTAATTTACATAACTTGCGTTCCATTCTGTGCCCCATGAATAGGTCGATTCTGTTTCATTGCCAGATTCCTGAGAACCTCTAGCGGCAATTTCCCATTCCGGCTCAGTGGGTAAACGGACTTCCCCATCGAGAGTAATCTTCCCAGATGCTTGCCAGCGTCCTGTAACCTGGTACAACATGCGCGCGTATCGTACCAGGTAAGATCTGTAGCTGGTAAATTATCTTTAGAGGGGCATTAATCATCAGGACTATTCCGATTCCGTCCCGTCTCTTTGATGAAAATCGCCTATTCTCGATTCACAACTGGGAAAATGCCAATACAGTGCGAGAAAATGGTGATAGAATGGGGAAGTGATGAATTTGGGTAGGTAGAAGAACCAATTGTGAATATATTTGAAGGAATGGTAGTGAGGGATGGTAAATGTCGAGGATCTCCAAGTAGAGAAATTGTACGACCGGCTTTTAGTCTTTGGGTGATGGGCAATGTGCCTTCTTTGATGCACGCTAGTAGGTGATTGGGAACTTGCTCTTACAGTGGACTGGCCGAAGAGATAAAATCTGAAACTAGTAGCTCGCCTAGTTGTGCATTTGCTCCAGAACCTGCAACCAGCCCTTCAAGAGATTTAAGTAGCACCGGACTTCCTATATCTCTAAGGCGTACTAACCAACTACGAATAATCGGTTCTGCCAAAAAAGAATTCTGATTAAATAGATCAATAGCTACTTGTGTGTCCTCTTCAACAAGCTGGCGAGCTAGTAAGTGTTGTATTGGTTTCGAGAAGACCGCTGGATTCTTAATCCTCAATCTACACGAAAGTGGAGTTTGAATGCTCTGCTCCGCTTCCTGGATTGAATGCTCCAATGCCTCTCGTGTGATTCTTATATCATTATAGTTTTCAGGAAGCACAACGTGGAGCCACTCATCCAATAAATCCTCTGCTTTTGCTCCATAAAGAGTGATCTCTAACGCGAGCGCAAAATATGCTAGTAGACTTGCTGCTTCACCGATTCCAATCTCGATGTATACAAAATTGTATTCGATATTGGTGCTGGTGATACTGCGCATAAGCATGCGTCTCTTGACTTGAGAAAGTGGTATTGTATCATGTCTTGTTAATTCGGAGCCTAAAATCCAATTTTTCACGATGCTTATTTCTCCGAGAAGGAGTAGTTTTATAGATGCCTGTTCGTGGTGCTGGATTAGATGCACCATAGATCTTAAAAGCTGGGGCCCTTCTTCTCCAAGAGACTCGATAGAATCAAGAATGATCAACAGACACACCGGTTTTCTACTATCCTTGCAGTCCTCAATAAGTTGAGGTAGCGTTTTCAGAAGCAATATTGAGAATTGAGAGATGCTAGAGATTGGAAAGTAGCAAGGTATCACATCGGTACCTGCAAAACCCCAAGACTCTTTCCGAACATCACTTGACCCATTTCTCACAATAAACCCACCTCCAATTGATTTTGTAGTAGTAGTCGCTAGACGAAAAGCAAGATGTTTTGCGAAAGTCGTTTTGCCGCTCCCACTGGGCCCGACTAGTAGCAGGAACTGATTATTACTTACGATTTCGAGTGCTGAGAAGTAAATTGAAGAATCTTTTTCGAGTTCATTATTCTCTTTTCGGAGCTCCTTGCTGGATTCATCGTCAAATGTATGGCTTGTAAGAAGAGGGATATATCCAGTCGAGAGAGGGATAGTGTCACCGGATGGAGAGATCAAAAGGGGTAAAGAACCGAATTTTGACGCTGTGGCGATATATTCTTCTAAGTTACTGATTTCGGAGCGTTTCTTTTGATTCTGACTTACTCAATACTATTTAAACCCCTGATATAGCAAATAATTCATAACAACTACCAGATTCGATCAGAAGTAGTGTTCGCAATTGGAATCCAAGTAGGGTGATGTGATTTACGTATCATGACAACGACGCGTGACCAGTTGAAAGGCTCATAACCTATCGACTAAACAAGGCGAGGAACAATCTTACTATGCCTCCAAGCGATGGGGTAGCCTGAAAGTATATGTAGCATGGGCTGTTCGGTACCGGGATTGTCATTGTAAGCAACGGAGAGTGGGATTCAACCTTACATAAGCGTAATTGGCCCATGAGGATAATGCTAGTCATGCAGAACTTACCCCTCGAAGTTCCGCTAACATTCTCGATTATATACTTGACGAGCCGGACAAAAAGCTGATATTCATCATACTTAAGTGATCTACCGACCGCGTGAAAAAGGAATAGCTGCATTGTCTATCAGTGAAGAGGGTTTCGGGGGTCTTATCAATTAGTAGAAATGGTGATGGTGAAAAAGTTTTACAAGAATGGACTACTTATGCATAATGGCCATTAGATTTGTATCATATTCAGGAGATCCGGAAACTATTGGGATTTTTGAACAAAGGTAGTCCGCTAATGTTTGGTATCAAGTAAGGAAACTTTGACTTCAGAACCCATCTCATCGATATGCATCAATTAAATATTTCATCGATCACTTTGGTCTTCACAAAGGCTTGGGAACATTGTTGTGTGATATCAATTCATTAAATCTCGTGATGACCCATAACCCAGTCCATTCCATTCCTTCCATAGCCCCATCCAATCATAACCATGGTATAACATCAATCAGCCCTAACCTCCCATTATGCATTATGGACATCGTAATCTAGCTGGAGAACTTGGGGTTGACTTGGGATCTGCATGCGGGGTAATGTTAGTGAGATTCATAACGTATAGAAGGTGATGCAAGAATAGAGGAGATATAAGAAAACGTACCCAGTCTGCTTCTCGTACAACCCTCTGGCACCGTCGGTGATCTTCTCATTTTGATCGCGGCTCAAAGAGTGGCCGGACTTCTTCTCGATGAAGTCGAGTGCTGCATATATTATTAGCATGATATTCGCAGATTATCGATTGTACACTGCAAAATGTGAAGTACATCGAAAGCATAAAGAAAGAGGGGATGAGAGAGGGGTAAACGAACCCTTATCGCCATAATCCTCCTTTCCGGCACCACCGGCAGCTTGGTTGGTGTTACCAGTGCTTCCTGAGCTTCCTGATCCACTCTTGAGGGCACCTTTGACGAAATCCATTATGAAGTTGATTTGGGTGAGTGGTTGTTTGAAAGGTTGTGTAGTTGCTTGAGTGTTGATTGAGTGTGAAGTTGTAGTTAGTGTTGATGGAAAGAAGTCGAGCCAAGTCGTAAATGAGGGGACTTATATACCCTTCGGCATACCAAAGACGCCATTATTTACTAGTGCATTAACGGCTTATGTGCCTTGATTCTTTCCGTTCTTTGAACTGAAGCTTGGTTTCGCCGTTTCGTCGTTGCTGAGCATATTTACGAATCCGGTTTAGAGGGGTAACATGGGACTGAATGGAACGTTCTGGTTGGGTAGTTTTTCTGAGGGTTAATGATGCATGTGGGGTGAAAGTAATGACGCACGCCAAGATATTACGTTCATCTAGGGGACAAGACTTTGGCACGTTCCTGATTAATAAGCCCAAAGCATTGATGATATATTCATTTCTGATCGAAGTGATGACCTGAGTGCTTCAATTGCTTCGCCAGGATCACCAGTTCCCTTTCTGAATAGGACATCAACAATATTTCTCACCAAAAAAGAGTTGCTGAGACTGTAGTTAGGATTATTGGAACGGTGATCGATTCTAGACCAGAAGTCAAAGATATCCGATCTGCTGTCTCTAGCTACACCAATACCTGTAAGATGATGGCAGATTCATGAGACAGCCCTTGTTACTTATCTAATATTCAGCCGCCTTCCTAGCTTGCGTATTTTCTGTTTTAAAGACTTCGAATTCGCTACTTCAGGCACTATAAACTCGTTTCGACCTATGTTTGACTCGACAGACGCAACTTGCAACGCTTGAAGCCGATCTTCAACTTCCCTAGAGCGTTTCGAGGAAGGCCCTTGGAGAATAGCGTATCCAGATAATGCTCGGTTATACTGACGAGGCTATGTCGTGGTGTAACCTTCTTATTGACCACTCACATAGCGAAGGCAGACAGAGCGCAAATGAAACGTCATTCTATGGAAACTTGTCCGATAAAAGCTCGATCATAATTTATCTATTCCTTATCATTGACATACTGACTTTTATGAAATCAAAAAGCATTAAGACATCATAAATAGAGGCAAGAAAATGTAATGTGTTACCTACAAAGACAGTCGGAATCGCCGAAAAAGTAAATGGGACAGTTTCGCATAGATCACTATCTATTTCTTCCAAAAAACGTCGGAAAGCGGGACTGCCCGGAAAATCCACATCTAGCCACAAACGCTGCCGCGGCAAGCAGAGAGGTTCTCCTCGCCCGAACCCGGATTTTGATGAATGGGTTCGTCGGTAGCGTTAACACTTATGTATAAACTCAGGAACGTCGTTCTGAACTAGAAAACATCGATATGAAAAGATTCAATTTTGAATGAAATTGGACAGATCTTGTAAATATATTCTGTGACCTCTGTGAGGTTTAGACATGGCGAATTTGATCCATCTTGAAAAGCTTTCGTCATGGCGTGAGATTCACCGGGTCAAATGATTAGGTTCGACTCACAGAAGAAGGGTGGAGTAAGATCATGAGAATACGGAGCTTTTCATGGTAATTGTCAACTCAGTTATGCTTCTGATACCAATGAATCTGTTATCACTACTGTTGACCCATCTACATGCCACGATATTCCAGTATAGAACTACCGCAGCCCGTTATTAACCCATCCATTGAGTACTGTTTATCATCACCGATATGTAGCTGTCAATCCAATATTGGCTCTTATCCGCAGTGAAAAACAAAACTCTGTCAGTCAAAATACGTCTCGTATTACGTCCTCAAAATGTATCATCTCCATCTTGCCTTATTAGCCGCATCATACGCACGCTCATTGTGATTCGCCCACTCCTGTAGAATCGCACTCTCACAAAGTGTGTCTTCCTCCGAGACCTTTCGCCCAGTAAATTCCACGGTTCCTGGATCTCCATCGCGTGTGGACCCCATACACTTGACTCTTTTACCGCCACGCGGAAATGTCATTGTGTAACAGCGAATCAGAGCCGAGTTGAATGATGTTCTGACAATCTTTGCCTCTCCATCGATAGAGTCTTGTACTATCCGCAGTCCATGGATCGGATTTCTGAGTAAGAAGATATTCGTTTCGACCGGCAGCGTTGCTTTCACGAGAAAACCGGATTATACCCTTGAATTCACCGAGGTCGAAACGGCCAAAGACTTGCTGGCCACGTCTGTATGGTGCAGAGAACATGTCGAGGGTGTATGGTTGCGATTGACCGTAGTTCGAAGACATAGCTTTACATTCCAGCTCCCAGTGTCCGGTGATATCCCAGGGTCCATCGTTAAGTTCCCCGGCGGAATCATCGACATTGTTGTCGCATTCTTCAGAACCTTTATCTGCCTCGGCACCATCTTCCTCAGAGCTATTTTCTCCGTCATCATCTTCTCTCTCGTCATTGCCTTCTTCCTCGTTATCTTCCACAGATTCTTCCACAGAATCTTCATCTTCTTCCTGATCAACCTCTTCCACGTGTCGAGCCTGCCGAGCTTGGTGCACTGGCTCCTCATTTTCACGATCCTTCTTGCGATAAGCCCTCATCATTTTCTGAATACCTTGCTTGACCATGGTATTCGGTTGGACGTCATTAGAATTGACCAGACGTTGCTTGAGGGCCTCAATATCGTTTCCTCTCGGTGAAAAGCCTCGAAATGCGAGTTGAGCCTTCCAGAACTCAACAGGTCTGTTGCGATTATCATCCCCAAGATATAGCTGCATGAACTTGTGTCCAAAAGAAGTAACGTTCTCGCCGTCGTAGAGGTATTCGAGGTTATTGATGATTGTTCTAAGGACTTTCCGACCCTCTGGATCATGACTTGCTTCCATGTTGATTTGGGGATGAGTATCAAAATGCACGCTGATGGTGCTCGAAATAATGTTTCTCGAGACGCTTAAAGGGTATAAGAGCGCGCGCGTCCTCAGATTCTCGGAGATTTTGTGTGTTTAACTCCCCAATTCGATCGATTTTGTGAATACCTCTAACTCACCGTCAACGAAGTGAACGACCCAGCAAATTATTATGGTGCATGTCTTATGAGGACGATGTAGAGATTTCCACCACGAGACCAGACAAGAAATTGAGATCGAAAGCCCCACAAAAAAGAGTGAATTATTCGATTTGAGAATATCTTCAAGATTCCCCTCCGAGTTTGGAGATTCTTCTGGTCCCCGTGCCAGTATTAGCAGTTCCATTTCCTTGAATGGGTGGCTTTAAGGTATAAAGCTCGACTTCCATTTCCGTTATATGCTTTGAACGATGAAATAATCCTCGGGTTCGTTTAATCCTTTCTTGCAATCCTTTAAGTATAAAAGTAAAGACATGATAGTCAGAATAAAGCATCTTCAATTATTCTTTGGATGGGAATATTCGATGTGATTTGCTTTGCTTTGGATTGATTCAATGACAGTGCTGTTATCTTAAAGCCGAAAAGAAGAGTAGCCAGCACATGATCTTGGCGCTAAACCTCAATAGACGTTCCCTCCAAATCCCCCTCATTTCATGTGAAAATCATAAACAGAATACAATCAATAACCACTTTGAAACCTCCTCTTCACGTTGAGTGTAGAATGGTTTATGAGCAGAGTTTAGAACTCTCGTTTCTCATCGTGAATAAACATTCTTACAATCGGTCATCTGAATTATGATCCTCTTGGGATTGTCAGACCCATTTTCGAGTCAAACCAAGTCATCGCCATGAAATTCAACTTATCCAAATTCAATCAAATGAGTACCGATCAACATCACCACAATGTCAATGTCAATGTCAATGTCACCATGCCATTACATCCAAAGCGTCAAAAGCGTCAAAGTTACTCGTTTCCGTGTTACTCCGAACGTTTCTTGACATCTTTACAAATACTTTCCTCATTGGTTCCCCTAATCTTTTAGATTTATCATGGGATCTGTCTCATCTCGTGTATATTATCACTTAGGGGAAACTGTGGAAAGGAACTTCCTTTAAGTGTTAGACGCGATTGTGAACTCGCGAATACCTGCGCTTAGGGGTCAATTTTGGAAAATTTAGGTGAGAGAAGTGTTAGAGAGTCCCGTAAGCTAATCTTGGAAGAGCCACCGATTACTTTATGAAAAAAGGTAGAAGCGGTTGGAGAGAAATTCCTTTTTCTACAAATACCTCAACATTTCCTTTTCTCTTCCCGTTCTCTTTCTATCTCATTTCAAAATCTTAAATCCTTAAAATTCTATCTCTCGATTCACCTCCAAAAAGTGGTTAATACACATCTATCCCAAAAAGGTCCTATCACTACCTCCCCACCACTAACACCCCGCTATCGATAACTATCAAACAACTAAAATCAACTAATTCGGACAAAACTAAACCAACAAGAACCTCATCTTATTGTACATTACTACAACTTCCGTCAAAATGACTACCACATCAATGGTTCAACCAAAGTTCTTATCAAAGGCCGATCAACTTGGTGTCGTCGCCGTTGGGTTCTCCGGTGGACAAGTAAGTCGCCCTCCCCTCTCTGTTCTGCTCCGTCTCAGAGCCACCAACTAATTTGATCAACACAGTGCAAACCAGGAGTTGATGCCGCACCTTCAGCACTTATCAAAAGTGGTCTTCTGGATCAACTCGAAGAGGAATTAGGATACAAACTTCACCATGATAACACTGTTCATTCTTACAAAGAGTTGATTCCTACCGAGGATCCAGATCACCGAAACATGAAAAACCCTCGCGGAGTCTCTGCAGTCACACAAAAGCTTTCAGAACAAGTTTACGAGCATGCCAAGGAGGGTCGTTGTGTCTTGACTCTCGGTGGTGATCATTCTATTGCCATTGGTTCAGTATCCGGAACTGCGAAAGCAATCCGTGAACGTTTAGGAAGAGAAATGGCATTGATCTGGGTTGATGCACATGCCGATATCAATACTCCAGAAACTTCGGGTTCTGGAAATGTTCACGGTATGCCCGTTGCATTCTTAACACGTCTGGCACGAGAAGAGAAGCCCGAGATCTTTGGATGGTTGAAGGATGAGCATATGGTCAGCGTAAAGAAGATTGTTTACATCGGTTTGAGAGATGTCGATAGAGGAGAGAAGAAGATCCTTCGTGATAACGGAATTAAGGCGTTCAGTATGCATGACATTGATAGGTTTGTGTTCCCGTCGCACTAATTTACTCTGTACGCGTTCACTAATATTCTATTACAGACATGGTATTGGCAGAGTTATGGAAATGGCACTTGGTCATATCGGCAACGATACACCAATCCATCTCTCCTTCGATGTCGACGCTCTGGATCCTACATACGCTCCCTCAACTGGTACACCAGTTCGTGGAGGTTTGACCTTGCGAGAAGGTGATTATATTGCTGAGTGCGTTCACGAGACTGGTTCTTTGATCGCTATGGATTTGGTAGAAGTTAATCCTACACTTGAACCTGGTGTCAATGATATTGGAGCACACGAAACTGTTAGAGCTGGATGCTCTTTGGTTAGATGTGCTTTGGGTGAGAGCTTGCTGTAAGTTGGTGTTTCGGATACTGGGAATAGATACTTGAAGAGGCATTTGAAAGAATATACCCTTAGATCGAGGTTGCCTATTTATACATTTGGTATTGGATTCCTTGGGTGGCCCTGTGATAATGGAACTTGATCTTTCATTTACGGTTTTACTTCGCAGCTCAAAAGGATAGAGGGGCTGGTGGATCACTTATCTTTCACATGCTTAAGAAGTCAAGATAGATGTACAATCATCGACGAAATCAATACAAAAACATTTCAAAATTTCCCCGCTCTTTATAAGTTCACCGCCGATGATAAAACTCATCGTCGTCACCGATACAACTGTTACTAAAAATATAATCAATTCTCCGATCTCCAAGTCCCGAATCTCCAATATTTTCCATACCGAGTACCCAAGTACTACCAGCCTCATAATTATTATTTAGGCTTTAGTGATGCGCTGTGCCTTGCACTTCATCCCAGCTTCCCAACCCCCCGCCAACACTAAGCGCCCAATTACATTATTCACACCGCGAAAATGGGTGGTGTATTAATGCGCGTCAGTGTTCTAGTTTTTTCTTCTTTTCTCTGAGTTTTTTCTAACATTCCTCTATCATACATACTTCGAACGTTATCATCTAAAGTTTCGCGACGATATCGTTCCCCACGAACAATCAATCAATCAATCAAACTATCTCGGTACCAGCAAATAAAGTAAGACAGGTACCAGCGGAAGATTTCTGAGCTGCACGTCCCCTTGGTTCGAGTACCTTGCAAGGTGCACTGATTTTCGAGTTTGAGTGGAACATAAACCGAATAAATTGAACGACACCACAACATTCATTCACCGGTATTATAACATACGGGGAGGATTGACGTGGACGAGCTTGGACGAGTTATCGTACGAGATTTGTTCTCGAGACTGAGAAAAGGTGTGGAGATTTCTTTCGTGGAAGGGAAAGGAAGGGACATAAATAGGAAAGAGTCCTGGAATCGCAAGTTTTTGATAACGGTCGAGAACCGAAAGAAGGAAGTCTTTGGAGAAGATACAATTGCGACTTCAAACTTGTGGATTGGGTTTGCATAACTCTTTGGAAATCAACTAGACGATAATCGAAGTACGAACGGAAGATTACAAAAGAGAGCTAGGAAATAGAAAAACTCGATTTGGTATAACTATCTTCGACATAACGAACACTACCACATAAACACCGCAAAAATGGTCTCAACACTCTCCTCGTCCTCAGGTGGCATTCGCGAACGCTCCACCGTCCTTCTAACCCGCACTCGCACAAAATACCGCTGGCCCCCTCTCCAATTGAACTTCTGGATCCTCATGATGTTAATCGCTTCCTGCACCATCCTCGGTATCTCCGCCTACTTTGTCGCTGTTCAAAATCAGCTACATCTCCATGTTCCCTGGTATTTTCCCTACTGGATCGTCTCTGCTTCCCTCGGCGTCGTATTCCTACTTATTATACTCTGGCTCATCTCGCAGCGTCAATTGCTTCCGGGTATCGTTATATTAGGGACTTTTATACTCTTTGTATTATGGCTAGTAGGATTGATTGTGTGGAGTATTGAACTCTGGGGCCCAACGGGAAATGTGAATGGAAACTGCAATTTGTATGTTACGGCGAATCCGCAGAATGGCCCTTACTCGTCGACTTTGGCGTGGTTGTTGCAGCATTCAATTTGCCAGAGCTGGATTGCGGCATGGGCGTTTATGTTGATTGGGGTTGTCTTTTTGTTCTGGATGATGATTATGAGTTATCAGGTTTACAGAATGGATAATTAGAAGGCATGAAGGAGTGCGGGATGCGAAGAATGATTTGTGATGATACTATGAGGTGGGCTTTAGGATGGGGAATTGGTGGGGGAAACTAGGTTATGGGAAACAAGTATGTAGAACGGATCTACAAATGGGGGTTGTTATACGACCAAGGGTACTAGCAGCTACATGCTAGATGGATGAGTCACGAGTGATTCATGGACAAGGCGTTTCGGGAAAATGGGAGGATGGAAATCATATCATTATCAAATCCCTACTTTTCATTTTTATATGTAATGTACAAGTTGTGCATATGGGCTAAATGGGTGAAGCGAAATCATCTCAATAGGAGAAGTGGTAGCTTTGTCGCAGATCTCCTCGGCTAGTTATAGTTTGCAATGGAATTCTAGTTCCATGTATTTGAGATAGGGATTGTGTTGGTTTTTATTTGTTGTTTTTACTATCAACGGGGAGACTAAATTCTCATGTCAGTGGGACCGGTTTACGAGTGCTAAATTATGTCTAAACAAGAAACTACTGCATCACTATGAACTTTCGTATAAGAAAAGAACCTAAGCTGTAGCCCAGCGGAACAAGAGAGACAGTTCTGTGTCTTTTGTCGTGCGGCAATTTGGAGAGATTTAAGAATGGAGAGAATAGGTTGACATGGTGTCTCAGGAAATTGTTGGAAGCACTTTTTTCATTAGCTTGGATTCAGAGAACAAGACCAGTAGTAACTTTTTGTTTTAATTGACTCTAACAGGGCAAAAAAGTCCATGGTAACCGCGACTTCAGTATTTCCCAGGAACTGTCATAGCCAAACGATCTAATACATATTTTCCTGCAGTAATCGGAGGATATTTGGAAGGATTTTCCTCACTTACACAAGACGGTAAGGTCTCGACCGTCTCATCATAATTAATCGAGAAAAATAGGGGTACCGAGTATCGAGTTTTGGCCGTCCTGTTAACAACCCTATGAATAGTACTTCTATAAAGTCCATTTGTCCATCGCATCAGGAAATCTCCGACGTTGACTACGATTCCACCTTCAACGGGCTCGGCAGCGACCCATTTTCCGTCTGGACTGAGGACCTCTAGACCGGGAGTTGAGTCCTGGAGGAGCAGAGTAAAACACTCGTAGTCTGAGTGAGCACCAAGACCAACTTCCTCTTCTTCATTCGAGGCTGAAAGGGGTTTGGGGTTCGAATTTGGCTTATACTTTATCAGCCGTGCGATTCCTCCAGGATGTGTGACTAGTGAATCAAAGTAATCTTCTGGGAGAGATAGAGACAAGGCAAATAGGCGGAATAGGTGTTTACACAATTCCAAAATCTGTAGGACACAATTAGACACATGTAAAAAGACCTTCGACAAGTCAGCCTACCCTTCCGTAGTAGTCTGCAATGCCTTGATAGAAACCGGGGATTTCAGATTCGCTAGGCCATTGATTTTTACCACCCGCAGTCGTACCATCAAGCTCGACGTATTTTCCATCTCCACCTGTAGGATCTAAACCATACTCATAACCCCAATTGAAAGCCTCCTTTGTCTCCTTAGTTTGAAAATCATTTACCGACGAGTAACTAGCCGGTTCATATCCTCTGAATTGATCTGAATTCTTCATGTGAATTGCATCCTTGGAAGATTGAGGTAGTTCACTAAAGAAACGTTCGCAAAGCTTGAATACTTCATCGCAAACATGCTGTGGAATTCCATGACCTGTGATGTAGAAAAATCCAACATTCGCACATGCTTCGTTGATTTTCTTCGCAACCACTTGACGGTCGGCTAAAAATGATGAGAATGAAGGGGTTAGATCGATAATTGGAAGTGATCGAAATGAAGAGGGACCAGAAGTATCCGCAAGACGAGATTGGAGATAATCTTGTATTTCCTGCGCAGCACGACGTGTGTTTTCGGTGGCAAGATCTGCCGTTTGTACAGTAGTTGCAGCCATAATATTGAAAATTTAATTGTCGCAATTGTTGATTTGGTTGGAGATGGGTTGCGCATAGTATTTCTATGACGACAAAGGTGGGGTAGATTGTTATCGCATCCTTATCAAGAAGGTCATGCAGGTTGTGACAAACAGGAACTGAGCGACGGCAGGCAACGCTGCGTAGATATTGTTAATGGTGTCTTCAGTCGCCAGGTCCAGGATACAAAATAGCGATATTGATAAGACTCAACATCTAGAAACTCGTCAGGACCAAATACTTGCTGAAGGAATATCAAAATTTATCATTTAGTTTGGCGATAACGGAGCCAATGTTGATTTACGAAGATGGGTAAAGCTAAAATCGGTAGTACAAGCAATTAGAGTTCCTTCGCCAGGGGTTTCATTATTAATAGCATCAATTTGGCCCTAGAGATAACAAGCCAACACCAACCACGCGAAAGTGCTGACCTACAAGCTCAAATATAAATTCAAAGACTCCCATAACCAAACCAATGCCTGAAACATACGCACATTTCGTGCCAAGGCCGTTGCCATCTTAAAGTCTACGATCAGAAGTCCAGTCCTCACGTTTCCCTTATTCGACCCAATACCCACCCTCAAACCACAAGCTCATTCATCATGCAAAAGGAAGTTCCTTCGGTACCCCATAATCGTCGCAACTTGAGAACCTCCAGGCTCCCCTCAACTTCGGAATATATATCCACCTGAATATCAATCCCACAAACCACGGAAAAGGAGGGAATCTCGGTCCATGAATACCAGACTCATAAGTCACATCTGAGTTTGTGATCAAGAACGGGACATCTCTCGTCTATCGACATATTAGCTGAGTTTGAACTTTATGGCGGAAGTTGAGGAATCTTACTTTATCAGCATTTTTCTTCGAATGTTGAGCCATCGCCTTTCCACATTCTTCCCAATTGATCAATTCATCCTTTTCCAGATCAACTAGGACGCCAATTTCATGATGCAAATGACTTTCCAAATCCGGTCCAAAAGCATCAATCAATTCCCTCAATTTGAAACCATCAAAGGGCTTCGCATCATCTTTCACCCCCGAAACATAAAGATCGAATGCAAACAAGCCCGGGAGAAATTTCTCATGCTCAGCGTGGTTGTTGATGAAAACGTCATTTCTTGAACTTTGCTCATCAAGTAATCTGAAATAGACAGTTTCTTCAGCTGCATGGTGTGAATGAAGAATAGAAGACCATGCATCGCAGAATTTCATAAAATCTGCTATATCGACGGTTTCTTTCACATTGGGCGCTTGGACATAGATGCAGTTCAGACCTCTAAGAAGAATGTTATGAAGTAAGGCCATTTCTGATGCATTGCGAGATGCTAAAGATTCGGGATTGCCCTGTTATGTGAGTTTTTGATATCACTATGAAGTCGTTGGGTGCACATACATCTAACGATTCCCTCGGAGTTGAGAGCAATTTGAAAGGGCTATCTGCCCATTTTTTCGTAAACTCCATTGCGAATATGAAGAAGATAATATTCTCTGAGTTAAACTAAGTCATTGTAATTATATAAGTATACGATTCCCCGCATTGTCATACCATTTCAGTCGATTCCGGTTGTATTCCACATACCAGCTGATTTGTGGCGTGATGCAACCGAACAAAATCACATGGTTGCGACAGCTTTGCCAAATTTCACTGGTCACCTTTGAACAGACTCTTCTACTCGTGCATAAAGAAGTAACTATTTTATCTGCCTTTTGGTTGTTGATATTTCGGTGACTGTTGTGAATGTTATGGCGGGGGGTGACTTTTGAACTTTCAATCGTCTCTTGTTTCTTGAGCCATTTACTCTTTTCGTGGTAATCTATGGGCAGGTAAAGGAAGAGAATATCATGATATTATTCATGATGTGATCTGGAAACTGGCCACTGTCAAACAATCTTTCACGAAGAGAGTTTTATCTGTGTCATTGATCACTGAAGCTCTTTTCGAAGCCATGGTTTACCTATCGAAGCAGAGAAAATGTTAGAGCATTCCTTTCAAATTGCGTTCGTAGACACGAATTGATGTCATGAAAATAGGCTAGGTCAAGTCGACAACTACCACCTGCGTGATACATAGGCTGAGGGGAAGTGATAGGCAAATAAAACATCTGATTATGCCAGCACCATCTGTCCCCTACATGAGTGTTAGTGCGATCACTGGAAAGCCTAGCACGGGTTCTTTGGTCGTTCTTCACTTCAATCATTTGTAAGAAAATCGTGTATAGTTAACAGTAGGAGGGATGTATGATTTCGACTTTTCGAATTGGATGTCCCCGATGTTCCTAATCTCAAATTCATCAGTTCTTTGCATGCGTGTCCTGATAATATCCATTACATTGTCTGCATTTAAGACAAGGTAATTAGCAACACTCAAGGTCAATGCAACAGACACAACGAAGTAGCCCTATGGATATGTTGTAATATTTTTTGAATTCTAAGTAGCACTATACTCACGGGCCATCGAGAAGATCCTCATCTGGACTGTCTGGATCATGTACCATACTACCACTCTTAGTCATTAATTCGAATCGACTAGGGCGGAATGGCCACTTCATCCATGCCTCCATAATTTCCTTTAACATTTCCGTTGTCAGGGATCTTACAGACAAATGCTTCAAGTCAAATGCTCCCCCTTTCGAGGGATCTGTCAACGAAGGACATTCGCCGGCTATGTGCTCTAGGGCACCGGGCCATAATCCTTCCAAAGACTCATAGACTGTGTCAATTGGATTTGCGTACATATTACCAATTATGTATTCGAAGACATCATAGTTCTCGGGATAATTTTGACGAAGAATAGGCCAAAGAGCTTGGGGCTGAATATCCAAGAGACACAACTCAGAAGCAGGTCTGAATTCTTTTGAATATACTTTGAGAGGCTCCATCGGTCTCTTCTCGAATTCTGTACCAATGCGCGCACCGTCAAGTCTGATACCGTAGATCTTTTGGGCAGCAAGAGGAAGTTGGGCAATCTTGTCTTCATACGTCTTGATCATTGCGTCCAATTTGTTTCTTGAACTCTCGGTGTCCTCGGACTTCGAATCTGCATCCAAGATTTTACTGTGAAGCTGATTGATGTTGTTGTAGTCATTGATGAGATCCTGTGTCAGCGCTCCATGTTGGTTGATCACTTTTTTCTTCGCTTTAAGGAAGATATAACGTGCATATTCTTCGGTGTAGTGTCTTTTCTCCTTCTTTCGTTTGTCCTTTTCACCGTCTTCGACCTTCTCACCTTCTGACACTTTAAATTTGATTAATTTCCCTTCATCCAATCGCTTCTGGAGATCCCCAAATTCATCGAACCAGCCTCTCTTGAAGCGATCGAAGTCTTCGCTTTCTACTTTGTGCCCACCTGTAGCAAGTGATTGCCTGGCTTTAAATTCCATTGGACCTTGCCTATGTTTGGGTGTCGTTATGCCCATTTTATCCATCCTTCTGACAACATCTATCGAATTCGCTAATGCAACTTCGGCGTCTCTTACAAATCGGTGGTTATCAACAGTTGAACTTGCAATCTCTTGGATATATTCTGTAGTTATTTGGGCTTCCACGGCATTTTTGCGCATCTGCGCGACATGCCGTACCAGCCATGACGTTTTCTCTACATCCGGGATCCATACAAGCATTCGTATGAGACCATATTGATGGAACAAGGCATGCGATCTTGCAGCGGAAAGAAGTTGATACAGGACTAGTTGTGACATGGACTCAAAACCGCGGTACCTCTTTCTGGGGTAGTGGGCAAGATTCGCAATCACAAGAAGGGTATTATTTGGTTCGTTGATCTTTGGATCATTTCGCGAAAGTTTTACCTGATGGGGTAAGAATTCCGGAGTAGTAACTTGCCCAAGATGTTCCCAGACCGTTCCAGATTTTGGTATGTGTTGATAAGTAGAATCTTTTGCGTCAAGAAGAGGTTGGATAAAAGGATAATACTTCTTTGCATCAGGTTCCATAAGGAGATGTGTTCGAGGTTTGAGAATTTTATGAATTTTAGACGACCATAAGCCAATGCCTGGATTTATGTCGATGACGTCGCAGCCAACATGCTTTGAAAGCGATGGTTTCAGACGGTCCAAGATATCATCTGGACCAGGTTACTAAATGATAATTCCGTAGCGGAAAAGGACTAGTTCTTACCACACAGTGCTCCGTTCATGATATTCGAACGTGTTCTATCCCCCATGGTTGAACCTTTCATGTGAGCATCTCTCAGGTATTTTCTCAGGTCCAAGGGAATTTTTATGAACTCGCTTTCGTCTACTTTATTCACTATAGGCTCTTCTTCCTGGGCGTTGGTCAGAGACTCTTCATTTCTATCTCGACTCTTTCTGTTCCTTACCACTTCCGGTTCTTGTTCTGCTTCCAATTCTGGTACAGGTTTCGCTTCGGGAACTGCTTCCAATTCTGATTTCACCTCCACCTCTTTCACTTTTTTTGGTCGACCTCTTTTGCGCTTCACTGGCTCAACGGTTGAATCATCTTTGCCATCAACCTTTTCACCATCTGCAGATTTCCTAGGTCTACGCTTCACTGGTCCCACTGCCAAAGCATCTTCTGCTGTGATGTTCTCGAAGGTCACAGCCTTCCGGCGGGTTCGCTTGACTGGGAGATCCACATCGGTAGGCGTTATGAGTTCTGAGGACTTAGAAACTCTAGGTAGATTATAACATGGTGAGCAATGAATTTCGCGAAGCCGCGAATGTTGTAAAATGGACGGATATTTAGGTAGATTGGTCCTACCCAAACGTGGAAATACCCGCAACATCAAGGTCTATGGTTAGTTTGATGGAAATTGAGGGTAATGAGCGTTGAAAAGCTTGTAATTCAGGATGCCGTTGAAGTATGAAATGTTCATATACGATCCTGGAATATTTAGTCTCTACATGAAGATTGTAGACATCGCGAATTTAGATGAGGCGACAAAAAAGTTTCAAGAACGACTTGGTGAGGCTGAAGAGACCGATGAGGCTATCACAAATAATTGATCAATACAATTGGATGATATCGCATTAGTGTAGCTAGTGTGTGGCTTGAGAGGTGGCTGTCATCTGCAAGGCTGTAACTTTCCTTTGAAACAGCCTCTCAAACCCATCAGATTTACCGTACATATTTTTTTTATTGGGTACCTTGAGATCTAACATACATACCCACCAACCCTTTGACAAAGAATGACGCCAAAATCCATCATTTTACAAGACAAACGTAACACATCCGACAAGGCAACCTAAATAAATGAGAACCTGTTTATTGTACTACTCCTCATGCAATTTACTTATTTACAAATACCCATGATTTAGCTGAACAAATTCCCCCTTGCTTAACGTTATCTCTATTCAACTCCCTTGTGTCCAAGGTGTTCGTTCTTTCATTTCATTTGCAGGCACAATTCACAAATCATGGCGGGGTCGACTCTACAGTTCTCGAAGCCCATGAGCATCAAAGAAATCTCCGCAAAGGCCTCAGACTTTGAATTTAATCCTAACATCGCATTGAAGTATTGGTTGAGAACAGCCGATACACTTCTAAGAGAGGTAGATAGAATGCTCAATTACTTGAGTGATATGGAATGCTGACTTCGTAGGCTTATATTTATCAAGCAGAGGACAACGATCAACAAGCATACCTTTTATTCATGCGATATGCTGCCCTAGTTGCAGAAAATTTGCCCAGCCATCCATCTGCAAAAGCTCCGGACACTAGAAGTGCTCTCAGAGCTGCCCAAAAAACCCTCCCCGATGTTTTGGACGGATTAGAGAGACTAAAGCCTAGGATAAATGCGCGCTACGATAACTGGCAGAAGGCTTTGGAAAGAAGGAAACAAATTCATGCCGCGCGAGAACATGATACATCACGACCGTCGTCTCGGGCAGACTTGGCGGCTTCTGATCCTGCGATAGCTGGAAACACAACTACATTAGGCGCCGCGGAGAATAGCGACCTGGCCGTAAAGTTGGCGCATAAGGAGTTTAGAAGAAGAGATGCTGCGCGACGTGGTACAAGACAAGCGGGTGTTAGTGAGGAAGAGGAGCAAGAAAGACGGACTGCAGGGCTATGGGATGACTGGGAGTCAGCATTGTCTAAATCTGGTCGTAATGATGACGACGATGTTATACGCCGAAACATGGAAGCTTCAAGGAGGAGGCTAGATGGCTCCCAGGATATTTCGCCAGATGGGACTAAGAAGAAATCTGCAAGGCCCACACGATATGTCCAAACCGAGACTAGGAATGGTAGTAGCGCATACCGCTATCCATCTATCTCCAAGTCCCAACCACTTGTTAGTGACTCGGGACCATTCTCAGCTCCCGGGCATCTTCCTCCAAAGCCGCCCAAGGAAGAATACGAGACACCGCATTTCGATACACCCCCACCAAGACCCGAAAAACAATCATCAGAAACTCACGAGAGTTCATCATCAGACGTCGTTGGTCAAGACCCGAAATTCACTTTTCGACCTTCGGCATATCTCGAAAACGGTAAACCTCTTCGAACAGTCTTTCTACCGCCTACGTTGCGACAACAATTTCTGGCCTGTGCAGCCGCAAATACACGGGCGAATCTCGAAACTTGTGGGATGTTATGCGGGACTTTGATATCAAATGCCCTTTTCATATCTCGACTTGTTATCCCGGAACAGACCAGTACTAGCGATACGTGTGAAACGACCAATGAAGGTGCATTTTTCGACTACTGCGCATCTGAGGATCTGATGGTCTTGGGCTGGATACACACTCATCCTACTCAAAGCTGTTTCATGAGTAGTCGAGATCTGCATACACATTGTGGATATCAAATCATGATGCCTGAGAGTATCGCAATTGTTTGCGCTCCCAGTAGAAATCCTTCGTAAGTAATAGCTTATCTGTTTGACTTCGGAAGGGGTGGCCACTAACTAGCGAATAGATGGGGAGTCTTTCGTCTGACTGACCCCCCAGGAATGCCCGCCGTTCTAAATTGTAAACAAACGGGGCTTTTCCATCCTCACGAGGAAAGGAACATTTACACAGATGCATTGCGACCAGGCCATGTCTTTGAGGCAGAAGGGCTAGAATTCCAAGTTGTTGACCAACGACCAAACCCATGATGAGTCGATAATGATGATACCACGAGGATAAGATGATTGTATTTTAGCAATTGAAGCGTTGGTGCTTGGTGGGCTCGGGCTATGGCTAGAGTTGTATTTCAGATCCCAATTTAGCGATTATAATTATACATTCTATTACACAACGATCTCATCTGGACTTCGTTTCCATGGATTGATTTTGTTGATGTGCCTCGAGGGCACTTGTCCCCTGAGAATGAATTCTGACGAATTTGTGCAACCGAGCCTAGATATATACATAGTCATCCGGGGACAAGAACAGATAGTGTCCTTATTGTCTGATACATTTCAAATTCACCATCTCATACGCTGATTGCGAGATGGCCATCTAAAATGTGAGAGATAAGTTTTGATTAAGGTCATCAAATTAGTCCCTACATTGTGGTTGGATAACGAGGACGAAGGGTTAATGCGGGGATGACCGAGCGACCGCTTTGGTCGACACCATCACCATCCCTTGACGAAAGAAATACAGAACAAAAATTGTGAGATCCTCTGCCCCGAACTAGCAGATACTTAATACTAGTCTCTACGGGTGTTATCCGATGGCCCCACACATTGAATAATTTGCGGGGTAATGACATAGGTGGACCCATACTAGTAGTACATTCATCCACAAATAATCCTTTCAATACTTTCAACCCCAATAATCATAAAAAGTTTCACTCCAAACATCTCAATATGGCTTCTTTGCAAGAGATTGATCGTTCTCGCTGGACTTCCCACCGTGCGAATCTTTCAGGAACACCGTCTTCTCCATCAGAAGTTACCATTCACTACATCCTATGTCACCCTCCTTCCAACATTACCTCGAAGGGTACCATCCTTCTTATACACGGCTATCCAGAAACATCGTATCAATTTCGACATGTAATTACACCTCTTGCAGATGCAGGATACACGGTCGTCGCCCCTGATTACCGTGGAGCAGGCGAATCATCTCATCCTCGTGATGGATACGAGAAGGTTCAAATGGCATCTGATCTCCACGAAGTTATCCAAAATGATCTGGATATTAAAGATAAAATCCACGTGGTTGGTCATGATATCGGTGGGATGGTTGCTCATGCATATGCAGCTCAGTTTCCTGAAGATACAGCATCTGTTGCGTGGGGAGAGTGTCCTCTTCCAGGAACAGACGCTTATAACAACGCTGTCAAAGAAGGTATCACGGGAGGTCTATGGCATTTTGTCTTTCATTGGCAAACAGACTTACCTGAAGCTCTCACTGCTGGTCGAGAGCAGATTTACATCAAATCATTCTATGATCGCCTATGCTACAATGCTTCGGCTTTCTCGCCAAGCGATGTTGAGCACTATGCAAGTAAGTTTGCTCAACCGGGTGGAATGCGTGCCGGATTCGATGTATATCGTGCGTTTCACCAAGATGCTGAAGATAATCTTCGTATGTTGAAAGGTGGGAAGTGTAAAGTTCCAAGTATGTCGTTGATGGGAGATAAGAGTTTCTTGGCAACTATTGCAAATCAACAGAATGAACAGATGTATGAGACTACATCGTCTGCTCGTATCCCTGGCTCGGGCCATTGGTGTGCGGAAGAGAATCCGGCTGGTTTTGTGGAAGCTGTGCTTAAATGGACGAACAAGAACTCGTGATTTACGTTGTCATTTATTTTTGCTATTGTTCTAATCTCACTGTCAAATGAAACCCAGTATCAATCCATATCACCCCTCTTATTCATTTTTCCTGTGTATAGTTTTTGCAGAAGTCAAGGCGGTATTTACAAAAGAGTTGGTTGTGATAGGACTAGTTCCAAGTATGCAGAAATAAAGAATCTTTGAGAATGTTCACTCTTGATACTATTCATTTAAGGTGTTGTAATCTCGAGAACTCCAACGGCGCAGCCATAGTATGGAGGCGTAATAATTCAACCCTTTTGAAATCCATTAAATATTAGGACTTCAGGAGATGTTTAACTTTGAAGTAATTACTCATTCCGATGAGACACCAACAGATATCACATGCATTGTGAAGAAAAACAAAAGAATTTAAAGTCAGTGAAGAGGATAGTTGCATAGCGATAGCACTTGAAATGCAATGGTAATGGAGAAGATAGTATTTCCGCGAAGAAGGAATTTTCTACGCAAGCATTGAAGGCTACCATTTCACAATCTTGGAGAAACAGATGTTCAGTGTAATCTCTGAACAGACGCTACCGATCAAGACGTTGTACGTTTTCTATGGAGGCATTCGTGAACCTGTTTCATAAATTATGAGTCAATGCATTACCCTAATTTGGTACATAATCTGCACCGTTCAACTTCCATTGCAAGACTATCAAACGCCCCTCATCTTTTTAAATCCGCTGTGTCTCAGAGCAAGCATAAACGAACCCAATGGACAGATAGGGTACAAAATAATTGAAGTAGTCAGCCGCTGAATACTCCTGATAAGATGGTGATAGTTTAGTACCACTCCCCATTAATCTGCTGTCCCTCAGGTGCGTATATGTTCAATTTATCATATCCATTAACAATATTTCTTGCCTTAAGCAAGGTCTTATAAGCTACCAAAAATCCATTGCCATCTTTTGACATTCTCACCGCTATCGAACCCATTCGCAGAGCTGCAGTAGCTGCCGCATGTATATAGATACAAAATTGTTGCACATCTCAACACACTTGGCACTCTTAGCCTCCGCAAGAGTCACTTCTAGCTTCGTACTCCATGTTGTTTGTTGCATATCTGGATGTCCTTGGCTCCTCTGATTCCAGCGCTCGCTCTGGTATATCAATCAATTGTTGCACATCTCAAGCTCCTTGGTACTTCCTAGACCAAGCACTAGCTTTAGTACACTAATGATGTATTCCATGTTTAAAAGTGTCGATCATTTTTCTAGCTTGAGTTGGTTATTGATAGGCCCGGCATTTCTGGGTAGCGTCTCCCGCTGTATAAATAATAGCTTTTAGCGTCACCTAGCTTCAATGTGCGTTTCTTTCCGGCATTTCATAATTTGACCATGTTGTATACGCAAAAGATCTCACCAGTGCTTTATTCAAAAAAGACTTCCCGTCATACTTCCCACTATGATACCCTACGTTCTCACATCTAGATCCGTTGGCGATACTAGCTGCAATGATCGCAAAGTTGGAATTGGTTGAGGCGATGGAACTACTCGTTTCGACATCTCTCCTGCGAAAGTGTAGAAAACCGAAGATTGAATATTGCCATAGAAAACTGGCGGTTTTGAAGAAATAAATGGGCGGTGATATGCATGGGTGGTGAGTAAAGATTGAGGTTAAAGTGTTTTTGAGACAATGAACATATAAACCAACGCACAATGCAATTGAAGCTTCAACTTGTTGAAATCAGGTAGAGTAAAGTAAACTAGAATCTTGTGATGTATGTGTATGCCATTGTAATACCACAATCTAAATATCTTCTTCGAGACTTCCAAACCACGCTAGGCTATTCATTCGCGACCTACTATGTAGGTTGAGGAATAAAAAAAACGACCAAAGAATTAGAACCGCAAAACCCCAAACTCCCGACCGGGGATAGAAAATTTAAGAAATACAAGAAAATTCATCAAAAGAGTATCTCTCATCTCACTCATCTCCTCAATTCCGCAGTACTACCATATCATAGCTCCCATTCCTTTTCTCCAGAGCTTAGCTCAAGCACTTGGATCAACAATACCACCGACAGAATCATAAGCACCAGGCGATACATGAGTTTTGACACCCGTCAATGGATCAAAGATGTGGCAACCGTGCATTGCGGCGTTTGGTGGTGTGTATACTGTGTTTCTTGTTAGACATGAATTGTATAGAGTTAAGTCAAGCGAGACAACGATGAGGAGAAGAATGGGGCGATGTGAAATGTGAAGTCATGAGAGAGGAAAGAGTGAACTTACAGTGCAAAGAGATCGCATATTCTGTTGCGCTAGGGTTGGTGATGGAATGAAGACCCAGCTGTTGTCATTCGTTAGCCACGTGATCATATCCCATCGTCCAGCAAGCGATGGATCGATATAGCAAAAGGAGAGAAAGGTAAAGAAAAGAGAACGACTTACATCATCACACATATACGCCACCTTTCCCCTCCTATATTCTCTCACACCCTCGATATCCATCTCCTCCGCCTTCCTTGCACCTCCCTCAGGAGTAACCCACCTCGTCTCTTTCAACTCCCCCTTCATGATCTTCATCAAACAATGACTAGCAGCATGATCGTGTACTTTACTTTCCTTCCCCGGTGTCCAAACCAGCATTAATAAATTGAATATTCCTGGCACTTCTGCTACCAGGTTTCTTGTGTATTGTTTATTTGGGTTTGCATGGGCATACTTTTGCCAGTCGGATAAAGAGGAGGAATCATAAGAGTGAAGGAGGTGAGTGAGAGTCGGAAGATGAGGCGAGGATGTTGTGGTGAGAGATGTGGTGAGGGAGTTGATAAGGGTGTTGAAGGATGATGTGGTTGTGGGTTTAGAAAAGGAGACTGGAAAACTGCCATTGAAATCTACAGAAAGAGAAAACCGTTAGTTTCATTTTCACATCCCATCATCACAACAGAATTGATGAGAACTCGGAAAATAAATACCTCGAGGTAAGAAAGGTGTCCTGGGTTGACTGGAAGTGGTTGAATCAAGAGAGGTTGATTTTCTGGTTGTGCCTGTAATACCACGGTTTTTGGCGAGGATGGGTGAGAATGTAGGTTTGGTTGCTGATGTCAATTTTGTACGTAAAGTACGGAGTGCTGTCGTTTTCATGCTATTTGATGCCATTTTTGCAGATTCACGATGTATTGTAAATATTTAGATGTGAAAAAATGGATGGTTATAAGCTTGGGAATTTTATAAATCAGAGTTGAATGAAATTGAAAGAGTGGAAGATTGAGAAAACTAGTAAAATGATGCGGACCGTAGATTAAATACGTTTCATACATGACAACCCTGATAGCTAGGCCGGCATCGGGATTGGCCGTACTTGACCATATGAACAGTTTCGAAAGCTGGTGAGATGATATGTCTTATCATCTAACCTTCTTTGAATATTATATGCATTGGTGAATTTTCGTCAGATCTTTCCCAAAATAACGTCTAATCGGTAGATTTCTTTCCTTTTCCAATAATTCTGTCCCAATTCCCCTTTATTTCATGCTGGTATGAAACCTTTCATCTCCAGCATCCTCAATCGTTGGCGCGGCGCACGCGCGTTTGACCCCACACACGGTGGTGGTAAAGTTCGTGACCGCTTCCTTCTTCTTCTTCTTCTTCTTTTTCTCAATCCTCCAAGGACTATTCTCTGAATCGTGTGTCTGATATCGTTTTCCTGATTCGTCCAATTGAGATAACCACAACTTTCGTACCCGAAACCCCCCTCACAACCTTCCTAAGCCGAGTATGCAATCACGCGGTTCGATATTCTCGCGTTCGTTGGCTATCACCGCCTGATTAGATTTTCGATAATTAAGATCCTTATTGGTGAAGAGATTGATTGTCTAAGCGGGGGTTTCCAAGAAGGTTGTGGATCCACTAAATTGTTTATCTATTGGTCGCATATTAATTGGTAAAGATAAACACCCTCATCAAAAGTTACACAATGCAAACTTGATACCATAAAGATACGACGAGACAAGTATTGAGTAATAAACGAAAGTAATTGGTATGTTAGAAACATATCGACATCATCATGAATGAAACCGATCATCTACATACATCATAGTGATGTTTTGATGGCCAAAGACGAAGAGCTGGATGAACAAACCGACGCTATGATATGATCAACTCAAGAAAATAACAAATTCAATCGAGTACATTTACAGATCAATACAAATTCGTAATAGAAAATGCAGCTCATCCTCGTCGATCAAGGATCCAGTAATGAAAAGAAAATGAAGTCCGAACTACGGAATGCCTTCAATTCTGCTGTAACCCCCTTCCTCAATCATCATCCACATCTACCCACATCCATTTCACCAACCTCGGAATTTCCTATTCAAAACCTCGAACTCAAGGCCGATACTTCATGATTCTCTTGATTGGCTACCACTTGGGCCAATCATATGTAAAAGTAGTGGATCATGCTCTTCCATCTTCATTCTCTTCTCTCTCTCACACGAAGAAAGTGATCCAAAAACCAGAGAAAAACCACAAACTCTTCGGATCAAATTCGAGAACATTTAGCGAAGCGTATGAATGATTGTTGAACAAAAGAAGAGGAAATTTAACGAGAGGAAGTCGTTTTCTTATATTCGATTGTCTACTTGTTGAAATTTGACGCTAGTGAGTTACAGGGGCGATGATGTTTTTTCACGTGTGGTTATGGTGATGGTCGGAGTTCGCTTTAATTTTGGCCGATGCGTTCAGGATGGTTCACTCGAGGCTTGATGGTGGGTTTGATGGTCTTCGACGGATCTTCGACGGAAGCAGATAAGACTATGAAGCTGTAGGTGTATTCATTTCTTGTCTATAGAATTGAATATTTGCTGCACATGGACGCAAATGTTCAGTCAATTTTCAGTAAGCATTCGACATCTGTCTAACATGTTACAAGAAGTTACTCGAAGAGGTGACAATATTGCCTTTCCCCTGCCTCTCAGCCAAAATCGTGCTTCATTCCCTCCGCAATCATCATCATCATTAACGATTGCAAAGACATTCAATTCAGTAAGGAGTTCTTACAAAAGCATGCAACGTAATAAAATTCCTCATTGAAAGAATTGAACTCATCGCAAAGTTCCATAAACTTACAAGATCCCATCATGTCCCATCACATCAAATAAAAGCTGGCGAGAAATTTGTTCTTCTACCATCATCCTCATTAAACCTCTTCATCTTCATTCCCTCACCATGTTTATAAATCCCTAATACCCTGTCTCTATTCATGAACTGAACCTGCATTGCCACATTTCCTTTATATGTTTCTCTCATTCTATACACTCTACCTATCCCAGGACACTGATGTAGAACAGATGAACTTGTTGATTTACCTGAAAAGAAAGGATAGGTCGTGGAGAGAATGGTGTTTCTGAGTGAGACACAGGAGTTGAGGAATTGGGAAATGATTCGACAAAGAGGTTCTGTAGCGATGGGAGAGCCGAGAATTGCGAGTTGATCGAGTCCAGACGGAGGTATTAGTGCCAGTTGCGTGGCATTTTTAGATGTCGTAGGCTTGGTAGCACAGGCCCGTAAGCGATGCGATGAAATTCATAGGGGTTGGCGGGCATAGGGAAGAAAGCCGTCTAGCCGACTAGTGTTAAGAATTGGATGAATTCAAGTGCGACGATGGCTTCTGATGCACAACCCGCCGACACTAAAGTCTTTTTAAGCTTCTTTGACCATTTGTTGTCAACAAAATGCGAGGAGGCAGAAGTAGTCAGACAAAAAATGACAGGCGTTGCGTTCCAGAGCTCTGGTCCCTTCGGTAAATGAGTTTGTGTGAAGTTTTGGGAAATATAGAGCTGAAGGAAAACAGATGGGTCCAGTAGTTGTAGAGCTGAGCCAAAAATCGAGGCTTAATGATAGCCTACTTACGGCATGGGCTGCTAATATTCTCCCAGTATAAAAGTCATGAGTTACATACCGAAGTTCAACACGAGATTGTTCATATAGGCGAGAACCGGCTCATACCTTACAGGTATTGGATACTCGACTTTTTCTGACTAGCTGAGAAAATAGATAGTAAATGCTGCCGTTATTGCACTTCCTTTTTCAATGATTTAAACATACAAAAAATGACGGAAACTTGGTCGAAGCGAAAGCTGTCCAAATGCGAGCGATGAACCCCGGCAGCTGGTCAGAAACGACATATAAGAGCCCAAAGACTTCTTGGATTTACGAAAATATGCAATCTGAAGGCACCTAAGAATGATAAACCAGAATGAGAGATCTGGTATGCGTGAAATTGCTCTCCCATAGATATTGGTATGGTCATCCTCTGTAAAGTTTTCCACATCTGCTCATCGTTCTTCCAATATCTCCCGCTAAATCTTCTTGCGAATTGTGGTTTGAGATTAATTCATGATGCTATGCAATGTGCTATGGAGAAATTCGCAATTGCCCAATGAGGACAGATGAGGGGCACCAGCAGCATACACAAAGCCTGAAGGATCAAATTGCGTCGGTTTTGCGGCAAATGTCGAGCAACCTTAACCATTTACAGGGTAAGAATATGCGATGGCCGAAGACTCCCTTACACTGCAGAATTTTGAAGCAAGATTGACAAGCAGAAATCCTTGAGTTTGCATGCATTTAAAAAGTCATTGCCCAATCAAACATCGTGATTACCATACAAATTGATCTCGGAGAAAGTCAAACCATAGCCGTGGAATCGGAGTGAAGCACAAAAGTTCTCTGCATATTTGAATGCTGAAATACTATCTATCGAGGAACAGCGATGGAATTTGAAGTGTCGTTCAACCTTATTGTGATGTGTCGAAGCCTAGAAATCTGACCAGTGTCTCCGTGGGACTTGAAGAGGTAACAAAGAACATTTTGTCAAACAAATAAAAAACTTGTATTCAAACTCAAATTTGGACTCATATGCCGAAGAAATGGGAAGAACTGCATTCTTTACCGAAGTAAGAAAGTTGACATCGAAGCGACGTGGAGAATTTGAAAAGTTTGAAGAACCAATCGTAGATGCAGACCTAATCTGATATACGGTTTGAAACACCTCCATGTCAGACTTGCAGAGAGATTTTCATCAAGACCAAAAAGTTTATGCCAATGTCACACGAAAGGAATGTCCTTTTCTTAGAAAATTCAAACTGGCAGAAGAGATCTGGAGTCTATCTCTATGTTCAGAATTTCCAACAATATTATGGGAAATGAATTCCATGATATTTAGAGCTTGAGGCTGGGAACAGTGTCTATCAATCGACACAAGCGTGAATTCGGGGCTCACAAATTTGGAATGGCTTTCTTGTGTGTTGTTTTCAGCTCGACCTTGGCACGCCCCCACGTATAACAGTAAGGGGTTCTGGGGTATGGGGGCCTGGCGGCAGTAGAAAGCTCAAATTATATCCAAGAATCTGAGTAAATTCTCCGAATCCATGAATATTATTGTTCTTTTGGCAGTTACCTCGGTAGAGCTACGAAGATGCTGTACAATATCAAAGAAGCGGAGCATGTGGAAAGTGCGTTTATTGTCCACATTTAGGTTACGCATCGGAAAATACCCACTCAAAAAACATACGCTCCAGATGATTTCTTTCTTTCAATCCAATAGCCCAAATTTCAATAGTCTTTCGTCTCTAACTGACTGTCCTCACCGGCGCAAATAACTTCACCCGTCTCCCCGGACCTGCGACGGTCCGGATGCTGTCTTAGCCATAAATAGGATGACTACTTGGGCGACCATCCCATATCTTGGTAACATTGACTCAAGGTCATGACTTCCTAATCAAGGAATTCAAAAATTACCAGTGATCACATCATCCGTCTTGTCTAGAGCCCAGATGCCTCCCGTTTCCGCCAAGAAGGCTACGATTCATGGAAAGTATACGTCGTTGTCCGAGATCTCACCGTCTTTTCTGATCTCAACGTTGCACCTTATCATCACAACGCAAAGGTGGAATGGAGTACTGAATGTGAGCAAATTAGTCCTTATCTAAAGATACATCATCCCGAAATTCCAAGACTAACAAGATCAATTTGTCCCCAGATAAATCACATTATCCCAACTTGGCATCTTGGAGTCTTGGAATTCTGCGGCGTTGATGTACCAAAAATATACCCACTTTGGGCAGCAGTCAGATGGATTGATAAAGATTGTTGACAAA